AGCATAACTTCAGAGGGCTCTTCCCTACAAGCATTACTCTGCATCTATTTGCATGATGGCCTATCTGCCACCTTTTGCCCTCTCACGTGGTTTGAGAATCCTCCTGGATGCACCATTTGGCTCCTCAAAAGGTAGTTGCAGCAGTTTATAATGCCCAGACTTTGATATCATGTCTCCACATCTGTGTGTAAGTTCTTTTATGTTTTGTAGACATTTTCTGCATGATTTTGTCTCCTGTCCTCTTCCAGGCCCAATGCACATCTCCAAGAGCAGGACATCCTCATTAGGCAGCTGTTGGAATTCATTATTGTTGGATCACACTGAGTCACGGGTCCACTGCTGCCACCACTGTCCAATCTTTCTCATCCCAACACCTCCCCAGTTGAAGGCCAGCAGTGACTTGGAATGTGTAGTTCAATGGGCAGGACTGCCAGCTGCTGGTCTTCTTGAAGATTCATCTCTTCACTTCATAGACTGGGACCAAAAACTGATTTGTGGGTCTGTGTCTCAGGCATCCCTCGTGTAGCTCCAGCATCATCAGACAGCCCTGTGCTGTCAGCTGCAGAGATCCTCTGTACTCAGGTCTGCTCAGGGGGTGGAACACTGCTTGCTTTATTTTGCTGCCTTGTTTTTATGTCCTAGTGCCTTATTGCCCCTGTGGGAGAAGGTTTTGTGCTCCTGAGAGCACAGTTCTGATGTTCCTTACTGCTGCAGGTAGGGATGGCCTGGCTGAGACCCTCACCCAGCCCAGCAGTCCCTGTTCATAGAATCACAGAACAGTTCGGGTTGAAGGGACCTTAAAGCTCCTCCAGCTCCAACCCCTGCCACGGGCAGGGACCCCTTCCACTGGAGCAGCTTGCTCCAAGCCCCTGTGTCCAACCTGGCCTTGAGCACTGCCAGGGATGGGGCAGCCACAGCTTCTCTGGGCACCCTGTGCCAGCGCCTCAGCACCCTCACAGGGAAGAGCTTCTGCCTAAGAGCTCAGCTCAGTCTCCCCTCGGGCAGGTTCAAGCCATTCCCCTTGCCCTGTCCCTACAGGCCCTTGTCCCAAGCCCCTCTCCAGCTTTCCTGCAGCCCCTTTAGGCACTGGAGCTGCTCTCAGGTCTCCCCTTCAGGAGCCTTCTCTTCTCCAGGCTGCCCCAGCCCAGCTCTCTCAGCCTGGCTCCAGAGCAGAGCTGCTCCAGCCCTCGCAGCATCTCCATGGCCTCCTCTGGACTTGCTCCAACAGATCCAGGTCCCTCTTGTGCTGCTGCCCCAGAGCTGGATCAGGGCTGCAGGGGGGTCTCCCCAGAGAGCAGCAGAGGGAGAGCATCCCCTCCATGACTTGCTGCTCACGCTCTGGGGATGCTGATGGCTTCCCCTTGGGCACCTCGCTCTGTGTCTGTTGTCACCAGCAGCTCAGTGCTGGTGTCTGGTCTCCCTCCCACTGCAGAACAGTGTCTTGGACCACTGGTTCCCTCAGTGGTGGTGAGAGCTCAGCTCCCTGCAGGTTACAGATGCTGGGAGCTCGTTTTCTGGTGCTGTTTTGGCTCAGGGCACATTTGAAGCTGAAAAAGAACTGAAAATCTTCCCACTGTCATCTCAGTGGGGTAACCTCATGAGACGTGCATTTGTCTTTGTATTTTGAATTCTTCAAGAGCATCTCTTAGAGAAACTTTGCTGATATGAGGGTTTAGCCGAAGTTGTTTGCAGTTGAAGGGTTCTGTAGTTTATGTTCTTGACCATCAGCAGGAATTGGGGATAAATCAGGATTTCGTATTTCTCAGGAACTGTTTCTTTCTGGACATTGTTGCTTAGTGCAAGCAACTGTCTGATCAGTCTCCCTGTGACCAGCTGAACCGTGTAACATCCGTTCATCACCTTCCAGGTTACGTAGCCTCTTGACTGCTTCTCTTACCTGCTTTCTGCAATATGTACTCCTTGAGCTACAGTTCCTCAGCGTTGAGCACATCCTTGGGTTTACTCCGTCTTTCACAGGAAAGACCTGGGGACCTGGGACACCTTTCATTGCTGCTCCCTCTGTTTTCAACAATGCAGAGATGTTTGTTTTCCCGAAGGACAGACTCCTCATATTCCCACACCAGTGACCAAGCTGCCCTTTGCAGACTGGGGAGCTGCACCCAGCTCTGGCACATTTCTGCCCACTTCGGTTGTGGCTTTGTGTTGACATCCTCTAGCCAAGGATGTTTCAGAGTCACAGCATCAAGTCAGGGCTCCCAAGCAAGCGTGGCACAGGGACTCTGTGCTTCCTGTCCAGTGTCATGTCCTTCTTGTCCTTCACACCTGGCCTTTAGTGTAAAGCTGGTGTTGATCTCCCTGAGCTGCTCCAGACAGCCAAGGAGCACCCAGCAGAAGGTGAAGTTGCGCAGTGAGGCCAGGCTGGCATCTTACAGCTGCATGACTGCATGGAGACCTCAGAGCACCTTCCAGTGTCTGAAGTGGGCTATGAGGATGCTGGAGATGGGACTGTAGCTTCCTCAGGGACTGCAACAATAGGACAAGGGGTGATGAGCTCAAACTAAAACTGGGGAAGCTCAGGTTGGAGATAGATAAGGCAGAAGCTCTTCCCTGTGAGGGTGCTGAGGCGCTGGCACAGGGTGCCCAGAGAAGCTGTGGCTGCCCCATCCCTGGCAGTGCTCAAGGCCAGGTTGGACACAGGGGCTTGGAGCAAGCTGCTCCAGTGGAAGGGGTCCCTGCCCATGGCAGGGGTTGGAACTGGATGAGCTTTAAGGTCCCTCCTGACCCAAACCATTCCTTGATTCTATAAAAATCATCTGATCTGCTGCCCATTTGGGTGGACAGGGTTGGATGATGAAAAATGAAACAGAAAGCCCAGGCATGTTTTGTCAGTGTTTGTTCTTTATTTGGAAGGGAGCAGGGTGCTGTGCACTGTCACATGCGGATGATGAAACGTGTTCCAAGCCATTAGTAAGTGAAGCTGGCAGCATCTGCCAGGTGGTAATTTGTCAGTGTTTGTAGTTGGTGGCTGTGGTGCTGGGGCAGGGCCAGGATACTGGAACAGTGCTGGCATCTGGAAGGGGCAAGGGGGATGGTCCCATTGATCATAAACCTGTGAGTCTGGTGTCAGTTACTGCCAAAAAATAATTGTTCAGATACTGCTGATGGATATAATGACCAGCAGAAACCTTCACAAAATAAGCTTCATTTCATTTTTTGAGGTGTCAGGTTTGTTGGGTGAATGTACCATTGAGATGTAACAGGTTTAGTTCACCACCCTCTTAACGTCTCCACTGCAAAACCCACAGAGCGATGGGAAGCGGTTCACAAGCATACCACATGATGGGACTTGGCAAGTCCTTGTGGGTGAGGAACCATTATTAGACACGGCCTCTGGTGGATCTGGCCAGGGCTGAGCTCTAGAGCTGCTGCTGCACGGTGACCAGACCCATTCTAGATGGACCTGCGGTCATGACTGGTCTGTAAGGGACCTGCAGCCTGAGGTCAGTAGAGCAAAGGGGCTTGGTATGATGAAAGGGAGTTTATCCAAAAAAAAGATTAAGAGATGATTTAACTGGAGCAGGTTTGTCATTTCACCAAAATCAGATTTCAGAGGGGATCCTGCCCCTCTGCTGTGCTCTGGGGAGACCCCCCTGCAGCCCTGATCCAGCTCTGGGGCAGCAGCACAAGAGGGACGTGGAGCTGATGGAGCGAGTGCAGAGGAGGCCATGGAGATGCTGTGAGGGCTGGAGCAGCTCTGCTCTGGAGCCAGGCTGAGAGAGCTGGGCTGGGGCAGCCTGGAGAAGAGAAGGCTCCTGAAGGGGAGACCTGAGAGCAGCTCCAGTGCCTAAAGGGGCTGCAGGAAAGCTGGAGAGGGGCTTGGGACAAGGGCCTGTAGGGACAGGCCAAGGGGAATGGCTTGAACCTGCCCGAGGGGAGACTGAGCTGAGCTCTTAGGCAGAAGCTCTTCCCTGTGAGGGTGCTGAGGCGCTGGCACAGGGTGCCCAGAGAAGCTGTGGCTGCCCCACCCCTGGCAGTGCTCAAGGCCAGGTTGGACACAGGGGCTTGGAGCAAGCTGCTCCAGTGGAAGGGGTCCCTGCCTGTGGCAGGGGTTGGAACTGGAGGAGCTTTAAGGTCCCTTCAACACAAACTCATCCCTGTTACATCTAAACCTCTGTTACCCATGGTGAGGGTCTGTCTGTTAACAGCTGTGGAGAACCTGGTGTTGGTTGGTGTTCAGCAGACATCCAAGTACTGAGATTGCATTTTCCTATATTTGGGGTTTGTGTCCCAGGGGTTGTCTGACCTGTCCTCAGCCCAGCGCTTGTTGCCCAAGGAGCCAACAGGTTATGTTAGCACTAAAAGCAACCACAGCAATGAGCTCAGTGTGTGTCCTGTAGACACTGGAAGGAGCAGATCATCATGTCGGTAGCTGGGGGAGCAGTTTGCATCTCTGCACCCATGGGTGGGTGCTGTGGGGACAGGGCAGCTGCATGGGTTGGGGTTATCCCCCTCCATGTGCTCTGTGGCTCTTGGAGCACCTCTTCCAGCTCCTGTAGCAGCAGCGCAGGACTTGCAGGTCCAGAAGCCCCCCTGTTGTTGCCAGACCTCCCGGCAGCACGAGGAAGTGCCCAGTGTTTCGGGATCTGCCTTTGTAGGCAGTAGGAGTCATAGAGTCATAGAATGGTTAGGGTTGGAAAGGACCTTCGGGTCATCCAGTTCCAACCCCCCTGCCATGGGCAGGGACACCTCGCTCTAAACCATCTCACCCAAGGCTCTGTCCAGTCTGGCCTTGAACACTGCCAGGGATGGAACAGGAGGTCCCTCCTGCCACTTGCGTGCACAGGTTCACACTGAGCTTGCTGCAGCTCCCTCTGCGTCTCCAGAAGGTTGTGGTCACTTGTGCCATCCCGCAGGGACAGCTGAAGGATGAGAACGTGCTGGACTGTAACACCAGGTGCAAATCATGGCATTTGGGGGCTGGAGGTCGGCCTTGCTCCTTGGCAGCCAGCCCTTACACTGCTCTCTTGTTTGTGTCCTAGGTGAATGGCGTCAACGTGGTGAAGGTGGGGCACAAGCAGGTCGTCTCCTTGATCCGGCAGGGGGGGAACCACCTGGTGATGAAGGTCGTTTCTGTCAGCCGCAAGCCAGAATCGGAAGAAGTTGTTCGGAAGAAGGGTAGGTCTGGAGCTCTGTGTTTCCCCCAATGGGGGTTGTGTGGCCTGAATGGGAGCAGCCATGCAGAGACCCGAGCAGCCGTGCAGAGACCCGTTGGTGCTGCTGGGAGGAGCCGTAGCACAAGCCCACTGCACACACCCACACTATGAGCCCACTGCATTAGCCTGCTGCATGCAGGCATTGTATGAGCCTGCTGCATGCACCCACTGTATGAGCCTGCTGCATGCAGGCACTGAATGAGCCTGCTGCATGCACCCACTGTATGAGCCTGCTGCATGCAGGCATTGTATGAGCCTGCTGCATGCACCCACTGTATGAGCCTGCTGTATGCACCCACTGTATGAGCCTGCTGCATGCACCCACTGTATGAGCCTGCTGCATGCACCCACTGTATGAGCCTGCTGCATGCACCCACTGTATGAGCCTGCTGCATGCACCCACTGTATGAGCCTGCTGCAGGAGCGCAGCATGAGCCCACTCAATGCACCTGCTTCATGAGCCTGCTGCATGCACCTACTGCATGGGTGGGCACCATGAGGCTGTGGAGCTGCAGCTGGTGAGGAAGGAGAGCATCACCCCTCCTGAGCATAGAAACCTTCACACGTGCAGTGTTGCTACACCAGGATGCGCTGGTGGCTGCGGCTGGGAGCAGCACAGGGGCACAGGGATGGTGGTCTGGTAGCAGGGCAGCAGCAGAGCCCCGCAGCTGCTGGCCAGGGCACCAGTGGGTGCCATCCTCAGTCAGGCTGCAGGACACCAGCAGCTTTGTTCTCACACAAAGGGGGAGCCGCTCTCACCCCTTCTCAGGAGCGGAGCTGCTTCTCGTGCCTGCACTCTGTGGTGCCAGTGGGAGCCGGTGCTGCAGAGCAGGGACAGGGACTCCCCTGCCCTGAGGGGTGTCCGGGTGGGCACCAGTCCCTGCGTTGGCAGGCAGGGGGTGTTGTAAAGAATTGGCTTTGGTATGTGAGGGGGGTTGTGATGGAGAGCTGCCCCCACTAAATGTGGGTTGTTGGGGATCTGTCCCTGTGGGGGTTTCAGAGGGGAGAATGGTGCCCACAGGAGCACAGGGGATGCCAGGGTGGAGGACAGACCCCATGGTGGTGTGGGGTGCCAGGCTGGAGCCTGTCCTCTCTCAGGCAGTTGCTGTGCCTGGGAGCTGCTCATGGCCTGGTTGCTTCTGTGATCACGGCCAGTCTAGGGGCTGCTGGCCATGTGTGGGCCCCCAGAAGGTTCTGGTTCACCCCATCATTCCCAGGGCAGAGCTGAGACCAGTGGCTACAAGTGAGGCCTGAAGGAGAGCTTGGTGGTGGGCTTATGTGCTCCTGGCCTGCAGGGCAGCTCTTGGGTTGCTGGGCATCCAGCTGTGGAGTGCAGGGCCAGTATGGATGGAGGGCAGCTGGATGGGAGGCTGCCAGCTGTATGCAGCGGGGACACAGCATGGCATACAGCTATGGATGGGAGGCTGCCAGCTGTATGCAGCGGGGACACAGCATGGCATACAGCTATGGATGGGAGGCTGTCAGCTGTATGCAGCGGGGACACAGCATGGCATACAGCTATGGATGGGAGGCTGTCAGCTGTATGCAGCGGGACACAGCATGGCATACAGCTATGGATGGGAGGCTGTCAGCTGTATGCAGCGGGACACAGCATGGCATACAGCTATGGATCATGGCATACAGCTATGGATGGGAGGCTGTCAGCTGTATGCAGCGGGACACACCATGGCATGCAGCTATGGATGGGAGGCTGTCAGCTGTATGCAGCGGGACACACCATGGCATACAGCTATGGATGGGAGGCTGTCAGCTGTATGCAGCGGGACACAGCATGGCATACAGCTATGGATGGGAGGCTGTCAGCTGTATGCAGCAGGGACACACCATGGCATACAGCTATGGATGGGAGGCTGTCAGCTGTATGCAGCGGGACACAGCATGGCATACAGCTATGGATGGGAGGCTGTCAGCTGTATGCAGCGGGACACAGCATGGCATACAGCTATGGATGGGAGGCTGTCAGCTGTATGCAGCGGGACACACCATGGCATACAGCTATGGATGGGAGGCTGTCAGCTGTATGCAGCGGGACACAGCATGGCATACAGCTATGGATGGGAGGCTGTCAGCTGTATGCAGCGGGACACAGCATGGCATACAGCTATGGATGGGAGGCTGTCAGCTGTATGCAGCGGGACACACCATGGCATACAGCTATGGATGGGAGGCTGTCAGCTGTATGCAGCGGGGACACACCATGGCATACAGCTATGGATGGGAGGCTGTCAGCTGTATGCAGCGGGACACAGCATGGCATACAGCTATGGATGGGAGGCTGTCAGCTGTATGCAGCGGGACACAGCATGGCATACAGCTATGGATGGGAGGCTGTCAGCTGTATGCAGCGGGACACAGCATGGCATACAGCTATGGATGGGAGGCTGTCAGCTGTATGCAGCGGGACACACCATGGCATACAGCTATGGATGGGAGGCTGTCAGCTGTATGCAGCGGGGACACAGCATGGCATACAGCTATGGATGGGAGGCTGTCAGCTGTATGCAGCGGGACACAGCATGGCATACAGCTATGGATGGGAGGCTGTCAGCTGTATGCAGCGGGACACAGCATGGCATACAGCTATGGATGGGAGGCTGTCAGCTGTATGCAGCGGGACACACCATGGCATGCAGCTATGGATGGGAGGCTGTCAGCTGTATGCAGCGGGACACACCATGGCATGCAGCTATGGATGGGAGGCTGTCAGCTGTATGCAGCGGGACACAGCATGGCATGCAGCTATGGAAGGCAGGAGCACATCTAGGGCAGCTGGGAGCAGCCTGTGGGGTGTGTGTGGAGGCAGCTGTGGGGCAGAGCCCAAGGGGAGGGGTGGGAGGCACGTGGGGAGGGAGGAGGCAGCTCTGCGCTGACACCAGGAGCTGCAATTACATTGTCACTGCATGAAAGCAGGAGTCAGTGGGAAAGGCTGAGGGGATCGGTGCTGGGATCACCGCTTGTTGCTTCTCCTGGTGCTTCCTGTGAGCCCTGCAAGCAGTGAGCAGCTGCCTGTCGCTGCCCATCGCTTCCTGCCTCTGCTGTCACTGCCCATTGCTGCCCTGAGCCCACGGAGCTGGACGGATACTCTTCAGAACAGGGCGCAGGGACCGGGGCCAAGTCCCCACCGCAGGACCACAGCAAAGGCCCCCGCCTCAGTCCCCCCCTTCTTCTGGGGGAGATGGAGGCCTGTGTGGGACTGGCGTTTTCTGGCTGAATCCGCCCCTGATGGGGTCTCTGATGCAGGCAAAGCCTGGAGCTCCGGTTGCCATGGCAATGCCTGAGCGTTGAATCCAGCCTTGTCAGCGAGGAGGAGGAGGAGGCGCCCCAAGTGAAGAGAAAGAGCCTTCAACTGGTCTCTGCTCGGTGGGCTCATGGCATGCAGCGCCTCGGGGGCAGCCCTGCGGGCCGGCCAGGCTAGGCAGCCCCTGGGGACAAGGCGCCGGACACCAGCAGCCCTTGGCTAGGGCACGGAGCCTCGGGCCGGACGCTGCGCAGGGTGGGTGGGATGTGCTATGCTGGGCTGTGCTGGGCTGTGCTGTGCTGCGCCGGGATGCGCCGTGCCGAGGCGGGAATGAGAGACTGAGCCCTGGCCTGTTGGATGCGTTTCTGCCTCCTACCCTCCACCCATGGCGTGTGCGGAGGGGAAGCAGCCATCAGAGCTGGTTGCTGAGTCCTGCAGGCAGGCAGGCAGCTGCCTGGGACACAGCTAATCGGCAAGAGGCGTTCATAGCATCTCCGGTAGCTGCAGGGGGGAGGTCCAGCTGGGGACATGACTTGGACTCTCCTCCTCCTCCTGTGCTGAGGGCTGAGGGGGCCTGCGGGAGCCACCGGCCCCTCCGCACTGGGGCCGGCCCCGTGCCCCAGGACTGTGCTACCGAGACCATGAAGAAGTTTGCTTCCACGCGCAGCCTCAATAAGATCCTGCAGCAGTGCGACTCCTCATCCCGCGAGTACGAGGAGATCCAGGCTGTGGAGAAGAAGTGGCACCTGCATCTGGCCACTCCTCGTAAGTTCCTGGACAAGAAATGCAAAATGCCGTCTCTCTTCCTTTCAGCTCCGCCGCCTCCCAAGAGAGCGCCCAGCACCACCCTGACCCTGCGGTCCAAGTCCATGACAGCGGAGCTGGAGGAGCTGGGTAAGCGGCGGTGGGCATGGCGGGGAGCATGCGGGGCCGTGCAGGGAGCCGAGAGCACAGGGAGCGCGCGGGGCTGTGCCTGGAGCCAGCAGCACCGGTTTGCCCGCGGGAGCACGAGCACGAGGCGACGCGTCTCCTGCTGTCAGGGCTCCATCGTGCTCAGCGGCATACGGGACACAGTGGAGCTGAAAGCCCATCCTAGGGGTGCAGGACCCCCCCCCCCCCGAGCCAGCCCACCCCTTCCATGCTGCCTCTCCAGCAGGCTCCATGTGCCTGAAGAGCATCTACCCATCCATCCCCTGCTCCTCCTGCACCACAAACAGCCCCTTGTTCCCATTTCCCTCTCCCTGCGGGATTAGCTGCACCCCCCTCGGCACTTCCCGCTTCCACACACACGACCGTGCACACACACTCACACGCTCTGCTGTCACTACAGAGCCAGCCCACGGCTCCAGATGCTTTCGTATCCCAGCTTCCATCTCCATGTTCCTGTATTCTCTTAAAGCCTCTCCACCCCCACCCCATCCTCGCTTCCCCGTGCCCTGTGCCAGAGCCCCTCAGGCTTCCCAGCTATCCTGGAGACCTCCCTGAGCCCCCACCTTCCAGTAGCACTGGGTTCCCCCCAGTAGCACCCCACCAGTGGAGAGCCCTGGCAGTGCCGGTGCTCACGCTGCTGCTGGCTGCGGGGATGGTGTTGCCATGCGGAGACACGGTGATGGGTGCAGATGCGCTCGCTGGCTGTGGCTCAGGGGCTGTGCGTGGCAGATTCCTGCCCTGCCTGGCCAGAGACCCCCCCGAGAGGCATGAGCCTCAACGGAGACCCCGCTACCCCTCTCTTTTTTGGGGTCCGCTCCCTGTCCTACCTGCACATCCAGGCTTTACAACCCTGTGGGGTTCTCCTGGAAGAGCAGACCTTCAGAGCTCGGGCTCATACTCAAGTATGGGTTTGAAGGGATAAATCTTAGCATTTTAGTGTTTGCATCAGCTGGTTGATGGCCGCTGTGATTTATTTGCTGAGCCCACTGCCTTGACCTTCACCCCAGCCCGCTCTCGCTTCTCCAGAGCTGTACCCCTAAACGGAAGGCGCTGTGTTTGCTGGTAGCCATTAGGAGAGGCTTCAGAATAGCCTGTTTCTTCCACGTTTTGCTCTTCCTTTTGCACGGACACTGCACAGAGCCCAGGGTTCATGTTTTCTCTCTCACGTGCTGGCCCTGAGAGCAGTTCCTGGCAGCATGAGGGTGGCTCCTGGCACACACAGGCAGCACGTTCCACATTTCCCACCCATCTGCGGTGAGCATAGGGCCCCAGTCGAAGCCTGGCATGTGTAGTGTGGGCGCCTCCGCTGGGGGACAGGCCCCCGACCAGTGGGACATGGCCACTCCATCCCTGTGTGTGTGCTTTGGGAAGCAGAGCTGCTGGGCTCAAGGGGGGCGAGCGGGGGGAAAGAGAAGTCACGAAAAGCAGAGACCAGCCCTGGCAGGGAGCCTGTTCAAGATGAGTCCTCCAGGTCTGCCTGAGCTTTCTGCATCTCTTCACTGCCCTCTTGTACCCGGAGAGGGACCAGGAGCAGCAGCTGCCCATGTCTCCTGGAGGGGGAGAGTTGCAGATAGTGCCTGCTCTTAATGCGTGGATTTGCCATTGAACTGCAGTGGTCAGTCCCTGCCTCATGTCCTGTAGCCAGGCCCAGCACACATCCCAGGGAAAATGGGGGACGGTTCTTCCTTGTTTTCTGGTGTTGATCCTCCAGCTCTTACTGCCAAGGGGGAGGTTTTGTGCAGGCTCCCATCCCCACACCTTGGCACTGTGCAGGATTAGAGCCCGGTGTCCTCTTCTGAGGGGACAGTGGTGCTGGGGAAAGGGACATTTCTGCCTGCATCTTCTTACAGGGTGAGGGTCCCTGCCCCTTTTCGCTTGGATCCTGTCCCTGTCCTGAAGCTCGCAGAGCATCCCTTGTGTCTGTAGCTGTACCATAATGATTTCTTGCTGCGTGTTGTGCCAGTGCCCTTGGACAAGCAGATTCCCAGGAAGCTGCTCATAAAGCTCTCCTGTCCTGCACTCTTGCCATTTGCTAGCTGCTGAGGAGGCTCGCTCTGGGAGATGCACAGGTAGCCCTGGAGAGCAGGGAGTGATGGAAAGCTTTTAAAAGGGTTTCCCCATGACTTGGGCATTAAATGCAGTCCAGCCCTCCTCCTGCTCGTACCCTTCTGACATGGCACCTCCCTCAGCTTTCTCAGCCTGAGGAAGAGGAGGAGGGCTGGTCCCTGTGGGGGGGGCTGGTGGAGAGCTGGTGCCTGTCCTGCCCATGGGGCCCGTCTGAGCACTCGGCTTCCCTCCAAGGAGCACAAGGAGGTGCTGCTCCTCTGCCTTCATCCCCAGAGGCCCAGCGAGGCCGGGATGTGTTCCTCTGCCAGGGCCGGGTCCTGCAGCATGCAGGCGAGCCTGCAGGAAGAGGCACAGCAGGCAGGCAGCAAGGCTGGAGCTGTGCATGAACGCAGGAACTGTGCATGCCATTCATGTTGTCTTTTGTTTCTTGATTCCAAGCCTCCATGCGGAGAAGAAAAGGGGGTGAGTGAAACCAAACTGCACTTCCTGGGGGTCCTCCTTTCCCCTTCAGCCACCCAAGCAGCACCCAGACAGCACCCAGGCCACAGCACACATGGTGCACCCAAGGCACCGGCACCAGTCACATCCCCTGGTTGTCCTGGTTGTGTTGGGATCCTTCAGGGCACAGGCAGCAATGGCCATTTGCCAGCCAGGACTGACTTCTCCTGCTGGTGTGCTTGCTCTGTGTTTGCTCCATGGTGGAAATACATTGCACAGGGATGTCCCCTTGTGTGGGGAACGAAGCAGGGCCTCCTTCAGCCCCAGGTCAGGCCTCTAGCTCAGTCAGATGAAATGGCAGCCATGGTCTTTGCTGGGTCCAGCAGTGCAAGTACTGCCTCTCCTCCTTCCGCCATGCAGCCTGTCAGCGTAGAATCATGGAACCATGGAATGGTTTGTGTTGGGAGGGACCTTAAAGCTCCTCCAGCTCCATCCCCTTCCACTGGAGCAGCTTGCTCCAAGCCCCTGTGTCCAACCTGGCCTTGAGCACTGCCAGGGATGGGGCAGCCACAGCTTCTCTGGGCACCCTGTGCCAGCGCCTCAGCACCCTCACAGGGAAGAGCTTCTGCCTAAGAGCTCAGCTCAGTCTCCCCTCGGGCAGGTTCAAGCCATTCCCCTTGCCCTGTCCCTACAGGCCCTTGTCCCAAGCCCCTCTCCATGTTTCCTGCAGCCCCTTTAGGCACTGGAGCTGCTCTCAGGTCTCCCCTTCAGGAGCCTTCTCTTCTCCAGGCTGCCCCAGCCCAGCTCTCTCAGCCTGGCTCCAGAGCAGAGCTGCTCCAGCCCTCGCAGCAGCTCCATGGCCTCCTCTGGTGGAGTTGGATCTCTGAAGACACCTGCCCAGACCTCTGTGCTGAGCAGATGTGTCAGTACCCAGAGGTGAGGCAATGCAGAGGTCCCATGAGTCAGAATGATGAGCTGGAGGTCACCATGGGTGTCCTGATTGTGAAGATCTCCAAGTGCATGGTGGAGAGCTCTTGCCCCTTTGGACATGAACCACCCATTTCTGGGGGTTCTCTCTTGAAGGGGTCTCCAGCACTTTCTCATCTCCCACCCCAGCAGCTCGGACAGACAGGGGCCACTCCTGGGTGTTCTTTCACCTCCTGCAAGGGCACAGCAGGTACGAGGTGCAGTGAGTGGTGGTTTGTCTCCCTACGCTCTAATGGCACTGGGAGATGGGAAGTAGAACTGGCCTGAGCTGGTTCTTAGAGCGGGTGCAGATCCTGAGCCTCAGGGCCTCGGTGGCTACCTGCCCCCAGGTGTGCTGGCCTCAGAGAGGACTAGTCCTCTTGGCAAAGACAGCTCGGCATCAGTGTTCACACAGGGCTCCCCCCTCTAGGCTGGGCTTCCGAAGCACCTGGGACTCAGTTTTAGTTTGCTAAGTGCACATGAGTCCCTTCAGGCCCCGGCAGGGTGTTCCAGGAGGAACACAGGCTGATGGTCACAGCACCCCAGGGCACCCCTATCCTGAGCACCAGCAGAGCCCTCCCCACAGTGCTGACGTTTCATTGTCCCAAGTCCAACAGCCAGAAGACACATGCCTTAACCTGAACCCAGGCAGAGCAGAGGACATTGCTCGTGTTCTCCTATCTCCACGGTCTAGTGAGAGGTTTCCCTGCCTGCAGCATGGGGCTGGAACTGGAGTAACTTTAAGGTCCCTTCAACCCAAACCATTCCATGATCCTGTGGTTCCCTGGGCAGTTTATGGGGACAGAGCATTGGTTGTGCCATGGAGGTGGAGGGGTCCAGTTGTGACGAATGCCATGGCAGCCACACTGGCTCCAGTGCAGCACCATGAGGCCACGCTCCAGGGCCTGCTGCCACATTTATGGCATGGAGCCCACATGAACTGAACTGGGCCTGTCCTGGTAGCTCCCGAAGCTGGGGCAGGCACAGCACGAGCCCCACAGCCTGCATTAGCTGCATCAGACCTTGCCTGGCTCCATCAGAGGGAGCTGGTGACAGGGGCCAGCATCCGCTTGTTGCCCTTCCGCATGTCCTAAGTTTGGGGGTACTTGACAGTGCCAGGCAGAAGAGCCTGCCCCAGTCGGGGCTGGTGCTGTGTGAGTGCTGCAGCTGGCGAGCAGTGAGGCACAGATGTGGTGCACAGCTGGAGGACCAGCCCCACCGCCTGAGCACCCTTGGACATGGGGGTGCACAGGGGCCAGGTTACTCCTGCCAGGGCCATTCGGGTGCATGAGTTCACTCGGAGAGGAAACATCCCAGTTTGTCCTAGGCAGACACTGGAGTCACACTGGTTGTGCTGGAGTCTGACTGAGTCCTGTGGAGTCCCACGGACTCCTGTGTTGCTTGTGGTCCCTGCAGCACTGGGTTCCCCTTGCCCACACCTCCCTCACCCAACATGGGGAACTCATTCTGAATATCACCAGCATATCTGGGCAAACATCTGCTCTTTTAATGTAAGGATGGAGACTTGCTCAAAGCGTGGTCCCCTGGGCACAGACCCCACAGCTCGGGCAGGCCGGGCAGGGTGCAGCCGGGGTGGGAATGCTGTGTGGCATGGCATGGCATGGCACAGTGCCGCTGCACCAGGTCCTGACACTGAGCCTGGGTGTGCACTGTGGTGGGTGGGTGACTCCAAAACGCCTCCAAAATCTTCATTAGGCTGGGGAGGGGAGAACCGGCTGCATCCTCGCCCCAGTGTTCACCAGGCCTTGGAGGCACGCTCCCTGCAGGGGGTGACCCCCAGCTTGGCCGTGCTGCAGGGGCAGGGCTGTGGCTGGGGAGCTGCCTCAGTGCACTGGCCCTTGCTAACCCCTTGTCTTGTGTGTTTGGGTTTCCAGAGAAGCTGGATGAGATCCTGGCAGCCGCCGAGCCAGCACTGAGGGCAGACATCGTCGAAGCAGATTCCAGGGCAGCCACTGTGAAGCAGCGACCAACAAGCCGGCGCATCACGCCAGCAGAAATCAGTGTGAGAGAGGAGGGCTTGTGGTGGGAGAATGGGGGCACATGGTGCCATGAGCAGTGCTGAGCGCTACCAGCACCATGAACCTGGCATGGGGAGCTTGGGGAAAGCAGGAGAGAGGCTGTGGGGAGGCTGGGACATTTGGGCATTTGGTCACCAGCAGGGGATTGCCACGAGGAGGACATAGTTGCTGCTCTGAAAGGAGTGTGGAAAGCTGAGCGGGAGAGCTTTGGCTGGGATTTTCTGGATGTAAAACTGGAGATGAGGAGGAATCAAGAGGGGAAGCATGGAGGGAGTAGGAGTGGGGCTGCCAGCTCCAGCCTGGCTGGATTGGGAAAGTGCTGCAAGTGGTGGGAGGCAGCTTCTGGAGCGGGAGGTAAAATGGGACAGCAGCTTCTGAGCAGTGGCCTGAGTGGAGCCTTCCCACGGGAGGAAACTGCTGCTGGAGTCAGCAGCGCTGTGCAGCTACACAAAGGGCCTGGGAGCAGGCAGGGGAGAGAGAGAGGATTAGCCCTTCAAAGGGCATTAGCAGAGTTAGGGAGGTGCTGGATGCTCCAGCTCTTCTGGTCAGCTGAAGGCAGAGGTGGGGAAGGCTCCATCCATGTCCCTGGGAAGCCTCCCTATGGCGGGGCTGTGGCAGAGCTTCACCCACTGCCCGAGGGATGGGGTGGTCTGAGCTGAAGTGTCCTTTCAGCTGCCATCAAGACTGGAAATGTCCCTTTCTCTCTTGCAGTCACTCTTTGAACGCCAGGGCATGGCTGCACACCCCGGGGTCCTTGCGGGAGCTGAGAAGCCCCACGTGTCACTGCGCAAAGGAATTCCACGGACAAAGTCTGTAGGTAAGGCAGGCTGGGGGGAAATCCCTTCCTCAAGAGAATCGGACATCCCTGTAGAGCGTCTGTGCTGTGCAGGAATCAGCAGGGATGGCTCAACCCTCTCCACTGGCTTGGAGCTAAAGAGCTTTGAAAAGGGGATGTTCCATGTGATCTCTGCTTGGCAGGTCACCTGTGCCTCGAGAAGCCTGTTCTGACTCTGAGCGTGCTCTGAGCAGGGGGGTGGAGGGAAAACCCCTGGGGTCCCTCTCAGTCCTTTTATGGCACTGCTGGGGTTAGGGGAACCTGTCCAACCTCCGCGTTGGGACATGAGGGTTGCAGGGGGCCTGTCAGTCCATGGAGAAGGCAGGGGGGTGTGAGGTGATGAGCACGTGGTGGTTGAGCATCAGCCCATGAGTGTCACAGGCTGACACAGGATCAGGGAAAACAGGGGTTTTACAAGGAAAAACAGGGCAGGGTCTGGAGCAGACTACATGACGTCCATGGACTGCGCTGGGATCTTTAGAGTGTCCCAAAAAGTGTATGGTGCATCTAAACCTTGAAATGCTGGAGGAGGGAGATGGGAGGACAAGGCAGTGAGCAAGGGCTAGTGGCACAATGGCTGGGGGAGGCTCTCATTTTCTGTCTAGATGTTGTGTGTTCTATCCGGGTGTTGGGAGGGCCTGAAGGTGCGGGAGTGTGCAGGGTCACTCGCATGGAGGCTGAGGGGCGGGGGGGAAAGGGCAGAGAGAACAGCGCTGTGCTGTGTGTCAAGTGATCCCTTAAGGCATCACTGGATGGCAATAGTGATGCCAAAACAGATTGTGAGTTTAAGACACAAGTCAATAGGAAGTAAATTCTGCTTCGAGCTACAGATGAGAGCAGGATGATCCCAGCAAGAGTGTAAAAACTAGTTGGAAACTGCAAGGCTTAGTATTCCAAACGTGCTTTTTCAAGTACAGAGCACTGCATATGTGCCTCATGCTCCCGTTCATGTGAGAGCGGCTGGTACCTGTAGTCCCACATGAGATTGCTCTGAGAGTAATAGATAGCTAGAGGGAATCATATGTGTGTATGATTCATCTGGAAAACAAATAGGAAGAGCTAGTCTTTAAACCATAAAAGATCGGGTGTTCAAGGGCTGCCCTGGTGTGCACTGACACACCGTGCTTGTGAAGCTGCTGTCTTGCTCTGAAATCCAGAGGCAGAAGCTCCTGTAATGCCCAAGAGCTGAACTGGAACCTGATCAGAGAGGTGCTGAGATAGATGCACAGAGGTGTCCCTACAGGCCTTGTCCCAAGCCCCTCTCCAGGTTTCCCGTAGCCCCTTTAGGCACTGGAGCTGGTCCAAGGTCTCCCCTTCAGGAGCCTTCTCTTCCAAGCTGAAGCAGCCCAGCTCTCTCAGCCTGGCTCCAGAGCAGAGCTCTTCCAGCCCTCTCCTATGAATCACACTCCCCTAAAATCACACATAGCTCTTCACTGTGTTCGATGCAAGAGTGGCATGAGACGGTCTGCACCCAAAGGGAGCAATTCCTGGTGAGGAGGAGCCAGCAACTTCTTATTCCCATTTGCCTGCCCCAGTGCACACCAGAAGCAGTGCCTCTTAGAGATCAGCTCGTTCCTGTGGAATTCCAGATAAGCTAAAATCAAAAATAGCCAAACAGTAGAAATGGGGTTGCAATTGGCTTGCTTTAGACGTCCTCCCCGAGCTGTCATTTCACACCCACAGTGACAGGCTCATAGGCTGCTGCACAGTCAGTTGACTTCATGATAAAAATCACTACTAAAAGTAAGAAACTAGCAGCAAAATAAGCAGAGGTTGCTTGGTGGTTGGGGGTTTTGGTGAAGAAAGCCTTAGGTATTTGCATATCACACGGCTGGTTTAGATTCCCAGGGCCTTGTGATAAAAGATCAAAAGACTCCATGTTCGCATCTAGAAATTCCTTGAGCGAAGATGGGTAGCTCTCAGCAGGCTGCAGGAAAAGCAGGATGGGAGGATTGCTTTGACAAAATGGGTAGGAATGCACTGCAGTGGGGAGGCTGAGAGAAAAGGAGATCTTTGTCAGCCTTCCAAGATAACCGCCACGTCATCTGCTCCAGCATCAGAAGATGCACACACTTGGGAGTCTGCAGAGCTGATGCTGCTGAGGCTCCCCTGCACATCTCCCAGTGCTGCAGGGGATGGTTCTGTGCGCACAGAAGGAGTTTGTGACCCCCCAGCAGAGAGAACCACGACGGGCTCCAGGCAGTGCCTCTAGGTGGCAGATGCACCTCAGCAAGTGCTGTCTGTTCAACCAGTCACTGAGGATGCCGAACTCCTGCTCTGCCAGTTCAGGGCAGTGCATGCAGCAAGGGGCTGGCTGCTCACCCTGATCCTGGTCCAGGACTGTTCTTCCCCAATCCTGGGTGAATCCCAATGCTTTCCCCTCTTCTAAACAAGTTCTCAGGATCATTCCAGCTGCAGTTCAAGCTTTGTGCCACAGCAGCCAGCATAAGACTGTTATTTCCCTGCTCTCTGACAGGCAGTGGGCTTTCCTCCTCCTGCCAGTTCTGTTGTTGCCTGGGGCTGATGCCAGCCCCATGCACCAGAGGATGGTGATGCTTACCCAGTTTAGGATCCCAGACTGGGTTGAGTTGGAAGGGACCTTAAAGCTCATCCAGTTCCATCCCCCTGCCACGGGCAGGGACCCCTTCCACTGGAGCAGCTTGCTCCAAGCCCCTGTGTCCAACCTGGCCTTGAGCACTGCCAGGGATGGGGCAGCCACAGCTTCTCTGGGCACCCTGTGCCAGCGCCTCAGCACCCTCACAGGGAAGAGCTTCTGCCTAAGAGCTCAGCTCAGTCTCCCCTCGGGCAGGTTCAAGCCATTCCCCTTGGCCTGTCCCTACAGGCCCTTGTCCCAAGCCCCTCTCCAGGTTTCCTGTTAGACTCTTAGGTATTGCAAGGCTGCTCCAAGGTCTCCCCTTCAGGAGCCTTCTCTTCTCCAGGCTGCCCCAGCCCAGCTCTCTCAGCCTGTGTCCCCCAGCCTGTGTTTGTCCTTGGAATAACACTGAGCCATGTGCAGGACCTTGCAGTTGTCCTTGTTGAACTCCATGAGGTTCACACAGTCCCACCTCTCCAGCCTGTCCGGGTCCCTCTGAATCCCATCCCTTCTCTCCAGTGTGTCCACTGCACCACACAGCTCGGTGGCATCAGCACACGTGCCGAGGGTTCTCGATCCCACTGTCCATGTCACTGACAAAGCTGTTAAACAATGCTGGTTCCCACACAGATGCCTGAGGAATGCCACTCATCACTGGTTGCCTCTTGGATATCGAGCCATTGACCACAACTAAAGTGCAACCATTCAGCCAGATCCTCATTTACTGAGTCAACCATCAATCAAATGCACGTCTCTCCAATTTAGAGGCAAGGATGTCATGCAGGATAGTGTCAGATGCCTTGCACAAGTCCAGCTTGATGGCAACAGTTGCTCTTCACTTACCCCCCATCATAGAAGGCCACCAGATTTGCCAGGCACGATTTGCCTTTTCTGCTTCTGTACATGAGTGGAGCCACGGCATTGGAACCTCTCTGCTGTAGCTCAGGGGTGGCTCTGGGAGCTCTTCTGTCATCCCTGCACAGAGAAAACAAGGCTGGAAACAGTGGGGAGTGCTCTGGAGAGAGCCACCTCATCAGCCAGCCCAAATACATGCACAGCTCCATTCCCACAGGGATTGAGGCTGTTATGGCAACGGGCCCAGAAGCCTTCTGGAGGGTTTTTGTGTTCTCCTTGGAGATGAGCAATGCACCAAGCATGCTGTGAGCTGCAGAGGGGTTGCCATGAGGCATTGCCAGGCTGCTTCAGGCATGCGCCCCAGAGCATGACTCTCATTACAGACCAGTTTCCTCCTTGTGCTGGGAGGCTGGGCTGTTTGCTGGTCCTGCTGTCGCTGGAGGCTCTGTTTTGGCTCAGGCTCTTTATTCCTGCATGCACTGACCTCTAGTTTGAGCCTGGTGATGTTGTGTTGCTCTTTGCAGGAAGCATGTACTCCACCACTGTGAAGACACAGGGTATGCTGTTTGAGGAGAACTGGGAGAAAAAATCCCAAGGGCAGTTAGCAAAGGAACACATCTGTTAATTGGAGCGGGGCCAGAGAAGGGAATGGAGCTGGAGCAGGGCCTGGAGCACAGGGGTGATGGGGAAGGGCTGAGGGACCTGGGCGGTTCAGTGTGGAGAAGGCTCAGGGGGGACCTGATGGCTGCCTCCAAGTGCCTGAGAGGAGGATGGAGCCAGGAGGGGCTGGGCTCTGCTCCCAAGGAACAAGGGATGGGACAAGAGGAACCGGCCTCAAGCTGCACCAGGGCAGGGTTAGATGGAGCTGAGGAACAATTCCTGCCCCAGAGGGTGCTCAGGCATTGGAACAGGCTGCCCAGGGCAGGGCTGCAGGCACCGGCCCTCCAAGTGTTCACACAGCATGTAGACAGGGCCCTTAAGTGACATGGAGGATGATCAGGAACTGGATCACCTCCCATAGGAAGACAGGCTGAGAACACTGGGGCTGTTCAGCCTGAAGAAGAGAAGCTGCTTGAAGACCTTAGAGCAGCTTCCAGTGTCTGAATGGGGCTACAAGGATGCTGGAAAGGGACTCTACAGAGATTGTAACGGTAGGACAAGGGGTGATGGGTTCAAACTAAAAAGGGAAGTTCAGGTTAGACGTAAGGCAGAAGCTCTTCCCTGTGAGGGTGCTGAGGCGCTGGCACAGGGTGCCCAGAGAAGCTGTGGCTGCCCCATCCCAAACCATTCTATGATTCTGTAGTTTAGTAATGGCCTTGACAGTGCTGGGGAACAGTTGGACTTGATGATCTTGAAGGTCTTTTTCAAGCTGGTTGTTTCTGATTCCATGATTTGCCATGGAAGTTTAATCTTCCAGTTATGCACATAAAGAGGGACCAGGCACAGAGAGAGGTCCCGGGCAGCACATGAAGGGTCATGCTGTTTCTGTCTCAGAGATCTCAGAGATCATTCCCACCTCCACCACCCCTCTGGA